TATATATATAGTAACCAAAATGTTTGGGTTTACTAAACAGATCGATAAAATAATAAAATAAAGCCTGTACGTGGTCGCTTTTTTTTCTCTTTCACATTCCTAAATGTGGACGGCTATTCAGAAAAGAAAAAAAAAACACCACAACTTACCTTGACTCCAAATTCCGCCACTAAACGTAGGATCCAGTGCCTGTCAAAGTGGAGTCTGTCCTCACTCCCCACTCCTATTACACTTTACGTCCCTGTGAAGTTCAGAGAAATAAAAAGTACTTCTACAGCCGATTCTAGCGCTCCTGCAGCCTGTGGTACTGTACCATCTGTTGTGCCCGTGTGCGTCGAGATCTGCACGGAGAGCAGGAGAGGAGATAGGAGGAGGGAGGAGGGGAGAAAAGGGAGCGAAGGGTCCGGAGCGCACGGCACAGCGAATAGGACACAGTGGGTACGGAGGAGGGGGGGGGGGCGCAGAGACAGGAGTTAATCTCAGATATACTGATAAAACTAAGAAAAGCGGAAAGAAAAGAAGTAAATTAAAAGAAAAAAGTGATTTTAGGGTTAAGCGAGTTGAGATGTAGCCTTCAGATAGGTTCACTCGTTTGTAACCTCGAGTGATTGATTGACACATAAAAGCGGTGTGAACGTATTATGCGTGTGTAAGTTTGCTACCAGCAACTGTGTTAACAAACTTAGCCGTCAGAACGGAAGGGAACGCCGGGTGTGGGTGATGTAATGACACGAATAGAAAAAAAAATGACTCTGACCGATGTGCTGGCAGCAAATCAGAGCCATGAAGCTTCTGCTATGGCTCAGTGTGATGGACTGATTTACTTTGATTTACCGAGTACGGAAACAACACTGACAGATTTAACGATCTTTATATTTTTTTAGTGCATCACTTAAATACAGATTCAATCAGTTTATTTTTTAAAATCCTTCTTAATTAATGTTCTAGTGCCTCCTTTCAGACTCCACACCGTTTAGGTGAAGTAAACTCATTTGTACCATCGTTTGTTTGCTTGTTTCTTGTTCCGTGTTAAAATGTTTTCTCCTTTTTTCTTTTTCCTTCTTTCTTTTTTGAAATAGAGGTGTTGATCCAGCTGTGAGGTTACAGGTTGACTTTTTTTTACAATCGACAAATGCACTTCATTGAGACCTGCATTTATGCCCTTTAAAGCCCATACAGGTATATGAGCACATAAACGAGGAATTGTGAAAAAGAAAAAGAATTCTTACACGAATTGTTTTTAAATCTGTAAATAATGATGATAATTAAATAAATGATAAGTATTGTACAATCACGTGCACCTCCAGACATTTTTCATAAGTGTGGCCATGTGGGGAGCGACTAAAAGTACTGGGATGGCACACCAAAATTACAAATTGAAGTTTTACTGTACTGTTGTCAAATATAGATTACTTGAAAAATATGTCCAAAAAGAAAGGATATGAGTAGTTAATTTCCTGCTATTAAAGATGATATCACTGAAAATAGGTAAAAATGACAACCAAATAAGATTTTGAAATCCATGATAATCTGTTTTAATAGATTCATTGACAGACTGACTGAATGGACGTCCCAACCATCACTTTAATGATTCTTAGCAGAGCTGAGGAGAAGCAGCTGAAGTTATAGTAAAATAATGCCATCACATCACAAAATGATCTTTTAAAATCTCTTAATTGGAGAATGAACTACGATCTTTAGTTAATTCTCATGATTATTCTGTATGTTCAACTGTTTAAAGTTATTGCATTTTAACATGTGGAGTTTTCTGTGGAGATCTTTATAATCCCTTCTTGTGGCTTTTTTGTGACACAACTGGCAAAGTTTTATGTTTTATTCAGTAGGTATTGCATCAAACCATTTTGGAGTGTAGTGCTTTTTGTGATTATATGACTATATCTTTAGTATAAAGGAGTTCCACTGACAACCGTACAAAGGTGATGGCAGAGATCTCTCTGGGTCACTGCCATGTCACAAGTACAATGAGAAAATCTGTTTTTTTTTTCTTGTTTTTTTTCTTCGCTGGGATGCAGGAACCTATATGAAGCTAATTCAAGAATCTGACTGTTATTGGAGATGAAATGTTGCTCTAACATTCTGAAAACCCTGAAGCATCCTAATGTCCACAAACATTAGAAATGTGGGGGGAACATATAGGCTAATGGAAAACCTGGTACTGAAAGCAACAAATGGATGGAGACAACATTCAATGCTCCATATGTGCTCACAAATAAAAGGCCAAAAGAGTCCAGAAATTATATTTAATAGAAACAAAGATTTTTAATAACTAATCTAAATGAATTACTCTAAAGACTCCCAACAAACTGTTTTACAAACTGTTCTACCACCTCGTGCAAAAAGAAATAGATTCAGCAGAAATCTGCTGAGCCAAATAAACCTGAAGCTTCCCACCCAGGACGAACATTTTCGCTGCGTCGCAGACAGACCGTTGACCGCGGTATCACTGGGTGCCATCTGGAAGTACTGAGAGAAGCCAACATGTCATACTGGTCATTTATAAGTAATGCCAACTGGGATCACGAGTTTTCAGCTGTTCACGATGTGCTCACCAGCATCGATCACTCTTACGATGGCGTGGCAGAGGAGCTTTGCAGCAAAGCGAGGTCATTTATTTCCAGGGATCGGTGCATTGTGTTGAATAGTTTTACCTCAGCCTTCTCAGAAGCATGTGTTATGAAACACTAATCTTTTTTAACCAAGCGTACGTGTTGATTTTTATACTTCTAGGTGATAATAGTTAAGTTTGACCTCTGGAAACACCCGTTACCTGTTACTTCCTCTTTCTAGCAGACGCGACACTGAGAGCAGTCTAGTTACTGAAATTTTGACAAGAAAGCAAGCCAGGATTCATCAAGAACCAAGCATTATTTCCTGAGCTGCTACAAAGTTTACCTGTTTAAGGAGATATTAATATACTTCTTAACTCTCTCTGCATGTTCACGAACAAAGGAATGAAGCAAAAAAAGACAGGATTTATAATGCTGAGTGGCACAGAGCAACATCTGACACGTTTAACAGTTAGTCACTTTGTTGTCAGTCACGACTACACCTGTGATGTAATGAGGCAAAGCAGTAGTTAGTGCAGAATGTAGACTCAGCTGTCATCTCGACTCAGAGACAGACGAGAGTCTCGGGGATCTGTCGCTACAACATCATGTTCTTCCTCATTGTGCTGCAGTCTCAAAAAATGTCTTAGAGTCGACATCGTTTCTTTTTCTGCTGATACTTTTCATTGTAGTGCACACTTACTGACACGTGTTCTTAAGGTAGAGGACCAAGTAGCCTTTTAATTCATTTACAGCATGAAACTATGAAGGGTTTGTCCTGCATAGTGTCCATATGAAGCGTGATTATCATATTCTGTGTCCTCCCTACTCACGCTTTTTTTCTTTGTTGTATTTCTGTCCCTAATTATCTTCTCCGGTCGTTATTCACGGCGTGCCAAGTACTTTTGCTCACAGACTGTGCTGTTTTGCCGCAAACGCCTGATATCACCACAGCATCCGTGGCCTTGTAGCATCACGGCGCTAAAGCTGGAGTTGCTATAGCAACGGGTGATCAGAGGGGTTATTTTTCTGTGTTCGTGAACATATTGAGGAGATGATGGGGAAAAGATGATTTTTAATCAGTCATCAGCCTGATAGCGTTGTGCAAGCGCAACCCCACAGCACGCCAGGCATTTTAAAAGCCTGCAGAGTAATAAATGTCAACCTGTTATTGTTCCTTAACTCCAAAACATGCCAGGACACTGAATCTGATGTAATCAGTATAACATGTCGCTGTGATTTTTTTGGTAGTCATCCATGATTAAATGGTTCCTCTGGCAGCAAACTGCAACAGAACAGATTCTCCTGCAACAAGCTTTTCAGATGACGCGAAATCATGAAGGGCGCAGTGTGATTCGGTGTGGCCCCTGCGGAGGGGGTGCTGCTGTCACTTGTAAAGGTCACAGCTGCAGGCATCAACAGCAATGTAAGTTTTATATGATTATTTAGCAATTGAACATAATCACTGCAGATGTTAAGGTGATTGCAATGCACTTTGAAATGCAGTAAATTTAAGATTTTTTTGCCAATTGTTTGAGTGCAGGGAAGACTGTGAGGAACAATATGGTAACAAAACATAGTTTATAAGTAATTTTGTCATAAATGAGTACTATAGAGTACAGTATTACATTTTTAAAACATTACAAACAAATATGATACAGGCTATATTATTAATGTCAAATCCAGTCATGGAAGCTTTAAGATCCTCAGTTTTTCTCTCTGGATAAGAAAGCATTATTCTCATTATAAATCACTGAAAGAGCAAACCATGTGAATTTAAACAATTCTGTGGATTCTGTCATTGCAAGTCACATCTCTCCAGAGGAAAGCTGATCTTTTTTTTAAAATTTTACCTCCTCCCATCACAGCCCATCACAGCACTTAGAGGACTCTTTGCAGCCAGTGGATTTATCCACTTGCCCAAGATTTTTTTTTAGCATCCTGCATCATAGCTAATGGTGAAAAAGAAATTAAAATTAGAACAACCAAAAGGCAGCAGAGGGTAAATATGGGATCTGGTTCTCACTGTGTTACATAATGATACTCTTGAATAACGTCAATGGCAAATGATTTGAGTTGCAAAGAAGCAATGAGAGAACCTGCTGACCTCAAAGGGCTTTTTCATTTATTTTCAATACACTCAGCCAGAAGTGCCTCTGCTGCTCATTTTAAAATGCACAAATCAAAATTTGAGACTTTGCAATGTGTCTTTTAATCCTTCATAGGGTTTCAACATGGTAATTTTTAAATGTGTCTGAGTACTAAACAAATCCCAGTGTGCCAGGCTAGATCTAATATTTTATCAGAAGCAGAGAGATTTGAACGTACACTGAGCGATGTAGTGTAGAGTTTAATTATTAGATAGCTGCAAAAGATGCTTTTTGTTTTGTTTTTTCTTTTCTTGCTAAAATGAAAAGCCGATCACAGGGAGCCTTATTCACCATTCCTCTCTCGTAAAGCTGATTACGCTCCAGCAGGTGAGTGTGCTGGCATCAAATGTTTAAGTGCCAGAGCTCAGAGGGGTTTTCAGTGCAGGCACACAGCCAAGTGGAGAAGCTGTTCAGCATTCAAATGTCTTCATGTCTGTTTATTTATGGCAGGTACTGTATCGGTACTTGCCAAGAGTCTCTGTGCTATTTCTGGTTCCCCTGAAATAACAAACAAAGGAAGCTCATTTTTTTTGCGAGGTGCTTTGAGGGCCACATTTAGATTATATGAATGGAAAACTACGGTCACCATAGAAATAAATGCGCAACATACGTTATTACACAAACCTGTTTCAGGCATCAGTGCACCCACCTCTTCTTCCCTGGACAGCTGGATGCATTGCTTTGCCCTGTTTCTGCCACTTG